GGCCCGCCCCCGCCAGCCCTTTTACTCCTGGTGTTAATCCCGCAGCCTGGTCTGGGCGAGGGGGCCCCGATTCCCCATAGGGAAATCCGTGCAGAAGCGCAAGGCCCCGGCGGTCGGAGAGAGGTGGTGCCGGCGTGGAGGTAGCTCAGGATCTGCTGTGATGACCAACGGCGCCCCGAGCTCTCATCATCTTGCAGGAATCGCGTTTGTCTCTGGTTTTCTGGGCTTATTCCACCCCGATTAGGTTCTCCTGGGTCTAATCCCTCCTGCTAACACGCGATTGCCGCCTGCAAGATATTTTCTAGGGCTTTAATTTATTTGTACCATCAAGTACCTAAGCGCACATCTGGGTACTATAAAAATAATAACGCCCTAATAGTGAGCGAGCGCAGTTATGGCGCGGGGCCGTCGTAGCGTGTGACGGGAGCGAGGGAACTTGGTGTTCCCTTCCTTTTGGCATCCTACGTGGCAGATTTTCTATTTATACTGCTCAAATAAACGGGGCGTCCTGGCTGAGTTTAGAAACTTTGCATTGTAAAACCCAGTGTGATGAAACACCAAACGCGCCGGGATGGAGATAACTGGTAACTGCTCATCACAAGGTGGAAACGATCCCAGGTGAGGGGAGTGTCGTTAGGCTGAACCCTTGGGAGATCCTGGTCAGTCTTCCATGAAATGTCTGCCTGGAGCCACCAAGCCCTTGTCTGCGTACACCAGTGTGGATCCTGGTCATACTGGTAAATCTGGGAACAAAAACCTCCCCGCGTTGACATTGAGGCTGCTTTATGCCGATCATGGCTACAAAAACGCCTGCCAGTGTTTAAAAACTTAATTTTTTAGGCTGGCCAAATTGTCGGGATTTCTGGATCTCATCCACCACTTGTTTGTTTTGATATCTCCAGAAGTTAGCAGATGGCGGAGACTTAATTCTGTTAAACGTATGGGAATTTAATCCCCGAGCAGCCTCCGGTCAGGATGCGTCGTCTCTGCGTGGCAGCTGGGAGCTTGGGACCGGGCTGCCGGGCTCCTCTCCGTGGCTTTGCACCCGATTACG